GGATGATGAAAACGGTGGTCATAAGATTTCCAACCGTAATGTAGACCATTCCGATGATCGAGCTTATGCGTGGTGATGCCTTGTATGAGAGTGATGAGAGTGATGGGCGTGGAGGAGAGGTGGAGGAGCTACATTTGCGTCCCCTTGTTCAAGTTTCTGGTGCACTGGGCACCCTTGGTCGAGGCGCCTCTTGACCATTTCCGCACTATGAAAAGACGAGGAATCGATCAGACCACCGAGAGGCATCGTAGAGAAGATGTCACTCACTATGCAATCTTGGCGCCTACATCGCGACCAACAACAAGACCAGCACCAACAAGAGAACTATTGATCGGTTTTGGAAGACCGCTCCCGCCACTCGTACAATGTGCGTGCACCATATGACCGCACAAAAATACCAGGATGAGATCTTGGTCGTTTTGTTGCAAGGGTCGTTTGCATATGGGGCATAACATACTCCCTGTCATATGGTCAGCCTATTCCTAGTAGTGAAGCCTGTCGAAACTAACCACTTCCAGCCATTCCCCCAACTTGGGACTTTTGCAATTTTCCAGCGAGTTCTGTGCAGTCGCTATTCAGGACACTTCCGCAACCTTCCATAAGACTTGTCTGCAGGTTAAAGTCTTGCAAAATCTTGATGAGCGATTGTTTGAGCCCAGGAATTTCTAGTCCATTTCGGATCCTTCGAACAATCCGAATCGGATCGACCTCAGTGCTAACATTTTCCAAGAGGCCTTTGATAAATGTGGGTCGAGTTTCCGAATATCGTAATAGATCCTCCCATAGATCGTCATCTTTCCTCTCTTTTGCAAAGTCGATGGCCTGCATGGAGATGAGTATGTAAAAATTGATCCAAGTTATGGTTCATACTCGGTTGACATCTCCCAATCTATCGATGATCAAGTAAAGAGCGCTCTTGTTATCCCCCATACGGCTCCTTACCCAGACCATCTCCAAAACCATATTCTTCTTTTCGCATATTTTATATATCTGCAGATCATGGTTTGTCAGTTCTGATGGCTCGACTGAAAAGAGTTAAGACTCATGCCTTTTCAAAGTCTAGAGGCATTTGCAGATTCTGCGATGTCTGCAACAGTCGGATGACTCGGGCTGGCGCATATTCCGCATAGAGTTCAATCTGTTTCTCCATATAATCGGCGCTCAACTCTGGATCTTTGTCAAAGAGGGCATCCAGGTAAAGGTAGAGGAAATAGGGTTTTTCTTCTAGTTGTGAGACAACTTTACCGATCGGAATTGAATGCGAATGTTCTACGAGTAGCGGGATGGCCTCTCCCCTCGCCTTTTCTCGCACCTCGGGGGAATCTTTCTCCACGGCAGAACTCCAGTAGCTGGATGGTGTATTACCCAGGTTAGGTCGAGAGACAGGCTTTGCAGCAACTGCCGAAGGCTTAGAACTGCTACCGAGGAGTTTGATGGGAACAGCAGCAGACACCCCGGCTCTGAGAGCAGAGAGCATACCGGTAGCAGGTGCTGGTGCTGCTACTACTTTAGCTTCGGGTTGGGGTTGTGGCTGAGTGGCCTGCAAGTGTTCGCGTTGTGCCAGTAGCTCTTGATCGAAGTTGACCAACAGTAGGACTTGATCTTGTACGTCTTGGAAGAGATTGTTCTCTCTGATTAGTTGGAAAATATTGGGCCGTCGAAGCTCGAGGAAATATTTGAGGGCTTTTCCTGGTTGACGGTTCTTGATATACCTGTGAATCGTTAGCATACCAGCAATTTACAACGCAAAATGACCTTACAAGTCAGCCAGACACTCCTTTAACATCATAGTAGGGGGAGGGTGGGGGATCGCGTTGATCAAGGAGGGTATGTCGTAAATGTCACTAGGCCATTCATTTATTGTGCGGTGCAAAGCCTGACAACATCCAAGTCAGTGTTATACGGCGAGCCAGTAGAAAGTTCTAACTTACCGGGGTGTCATGATTGAGGTAATATACCAGAATGATCCCATAAGCAAGTTTACTTAGACGAGGTGATTTGAATGGGACATAAGGGACCAGCACCTGCTCATCCTGTAAGCATTGTCTAACGGGATGGTGAGCACCTACACTGAGCTCTTCCGCATGTGCAAATTGGAATATCCAGTCCTCCCATGCCTTTGCATCTCCTCCCAGCACCTTCGGGCAGAGTTTGGCGGCCTTCTCGTACTGTCCTAAAGAGGGGGTTATCTTCAATGTCGACTCTGCATTATGAGAAGCAACCCACTGAGCTTGAAGAGATAATCCAAATACATTCTTCCAATTTCTTCTTTACTCATAAATGCCACATC